GCCTGTTGAACGAGGTGACCTTGCTCGGGTCCCAGGTGTACGGTTCCTAAAATGGCTGCCATATACACGCCCACTGATAGGAGACGCGGAAGGTATTAAACTGATCAGAACAATACTAAACACACCACAAATAAGGTTTCTCTCCTGTATGGCTCCTCAAATGATGCTTAAGATTAGAAGCGGCTGAAAAGCATTTCTCACACTCAGAACAAAATATATTTTTTTAACATTCTCTCCACTTTGAACGAAATGACGTTTGGGAAGAGATTAACATAATTAAACACAGGCAGTAAAAATACAGTTTTTAGCCATACCCTGTAACTTTAAAACTACACATCCCATCTTCATAATTACATATTTGGAATCAGTACACTTAAAACATAAACATAACCAAAAATCAGCCAAATCCATCCAGGGGTTAAAAGTTAGCTGGAGGTCCCTTTATGACCGACCGCAAGCACATTTTCCTGCCCAAAACAGTTCCATAGATTTGGGCTGTGAGGTCGGTCTATTTCAGGCTGAAAAAACGACTAAGTCCCATCGCGAATGGGACTTGTCTCTGCAGCTGAAATAAGGCTGAAAAAAAGACTAAGTCCCATCGCCGAATGGGACTTAGTCTCTGCAGCTGAAATAAGGCTGAAAAAAACGGCTGAAAAAAAGACTAAGTCCCATCACCGAATGGGACTTAGTCTCTGCAGCTGAAATAAGGCTGAAAAAAACGGCTGAAAAAAAGACTAAGTCCCATCACCGAATGGGACTTAGTCTCTGCAGCTGAAATAAGGCTGAAAAAAACGGCTGAAAAAAAGACTAAGTCCCATCGAATGGGACTTAGTCTCTGCAGCTGAAATAATTTCCCATTTGCACGAACCAAGTGGGAAATAGCCAGGCAGGCACAAAGGGTTTGCACCAGGTCTGGGGACACAGGGGACACCGTCTTAAAGGGGCAGTGTCCCCAACAAGTCTGGGGACACGGCCTTAAAAGGGCAGTGTCCCAATCTTCCTGATGTCCCAAAAAAGGTGTTTAAAGGGCCAGCACCAGTCACATAAAGAGTCCATAAGCCCCAATATGCCCCCCGACAGTCTTAAAGGGCCATACACACCAAATAAAAGTGCATACATTTTCACAATCTCCCAGGGGCCATAGTCATGCGGGAGGAGGCTGGCAAATAGGCTTCTCCACAACCCAGGGAAGCAGGCACTTGCCATTTAAAGGGCCCATTACAAATAGCAGTTTGTAACAAGGTGCTAATCCATATCTGCTATGATCTGATGTAGGGGACCAGTCCCTATTCTGCTCTGTGTCAGTGTGTATCAGGGAACCTTAGGACAGGTGGTGTGTCAATCCATATCTGCCAAGTGACCCTAAGGTTAGTAACATTCCCTATTCTGCTCTGTGTCAGTAAAAATAAAATTTGAGGACAGGTGTCAACCATATCTGCTAAGTGACCCTATGTTGGGGTAACATTCCCTATTCTGCTCTTGTGTCCGGTGGTACCAGGGGCTCTGGAGGACAGGTGTCAATCCATATGTCAAGGTGTGTCAATATGTCATATGTCAGGTGTCAATCCATATTGATTGTGATTTAGGAATGTTAGGTGATTTCTGCCTCAAGTGGATTAAAACCAGACTCTGTATCACCGTGTAATTTTCCTATGGGAGTTTTACATGGATCCTCCGGCATGCCACAGTCCAGGTGTTAGTCCCCTTGAAACAACTTTTCCATCCCTATTGTGGCCAGAAAGAGTCCCTGTGTGTTTTAAAATTCGCCTCCCCATTGAAGTCAATGGAGTTTCGGGCGGTTCGCCGGTTCGCGAACATTTGCGGAAGTTCGCGTTCGCCGTTCGTGAACCGAAAATTTCGGATTCGCGACATCACTACTTCTTAAACACTGTAATATGGAGTGACGAAAAGAAAATAGAGCTATAGTGAAAAGAATACTGTCCCCACTGTGAAGCATGGTGGTGGCTCACTGATGTTTTCAGTGTGTGTGAGTTTTAAAGGTATGGGCAATCTTGTAAAAATTGATGGCAAGATGAATGCAGAATGTTATCAGAAAATACTGGCAGACACTTTGTATTCTTCTGCATGAAGGCTGCACATGGGACGCTCTTGGATTTTCCAGAATGACCACAAACACAAGGCAAAGTTGACCCTCTAAGGGTAGCCATCACAGTCTTCTAACCTTAATATCATCAAGCCACTCTGGGGAGATTTCAAACTTGCGGTTCATGAAAGACAACCAAAGACTTCGCATGACCTTGAGGCATTTTGCCAAGATGTATGGGCAGCTATACCAGCTGCAAGAATTAGGGGCCTCATGGACAACTATTACAAAAGACTGCACACTGTCATTGATGCTAAAGTGGGCAATACACAGTATTAAGAACTAAGGGTATGCAGATTTTACCAATTCTCCAAGGGTATACAATTTTTTGAGCACAACTGTGTGTGTGTCATTGGCAGATCGGGGGGTCAATGGGGCAATTGCCCCCCCCCCCGAGATTCTCCCCTGCCGGCTAATGCAGGGCTGGCATTGTCCAAGTGCCAGCCCTGCTATGAGCCTGCGGACCAGGGAGGGAGAGCAGAGATCTCCCTCCCTGGTCCGCAGGCACCATGCTGACAGCTGGCAGGGGAGGGAGAGGGAGGAGAGAGGACCCGGGAGCTCAGCCTGCAGCTCCTCCGGGTCCGCCTCTCGCAAGATTTGGAGAATTGCCGTGGTTACCACAGCAACACTCCAAATCTCGCAAGAGTGAACTCTAGCTCTGGAGCTGTGGGCTAGAGTTCACCTTACCACCACTGGGACCACCAGGGAATCCCACCCGACCACCAGGGAACAAAATATGTGTGTGTATGGGGGGGGGGGGAAGGAGGGTAGGGAGGCTTTTTAATAATAAAAAAAAAATGTATTTAATAAAATATATATATATTCATGTTCCCCCTCCCTTCTTACCTTTACCGGGAGGAGGGGGGACATATATATATATATATATATATATATATATTTTATTAAATACATTTTTTATTATTATTAAAAAGCCTCCCTACCCTCCCCCATACACATTGCCCCACAAACACTGTCCCCATACACACACTGCCCCACAAACACTGCCCCCCATACACACACTGCCCCCCATACACACACTGCCCCACAAACACTGTCCCCATACACACACTGCCCCCCAAACACACACACTGCCCCACAAACACTGTCCTCCATACACACACTGCCCCAAAAACACATACAGTGCCCCCATACATACACTGCCCCCTAACACACACTACAACCCTGACATACACTGCCGCACTCACACACTTCACCCTTAACACACACCACTGTAAACCCATACACACACAGCCCCCAAACACTGTCCCCATACACACACACTGCCCCCCATACACACACTTCCCCCCATACACACACTGCAC